GAACCATGTTAGATTTTGCAGGTTGCTTTTAGTATTTCAGAGTCAACCCAACGTTTTCATGTCCACGTTTTCAAAAGGTCCCTGAAAAAACTCAAGGCCCTAAGGGAATAAATGGGCTGGGAGGTAAGCCTAGAACCCAGACAGGTGGTAGTGGGTCCAGTGTCAGAGCCTCTCTGCCTCACGAAGGGGATGAGCAATGGGGTGGGTGGAGATGCTGAAGCACTGCTGTCGCCCAGTGATTTCCTTCCTTGTCCTATTTGTTTCTTCTGGATGCAGAGACAGAGTCCGTGATGTCAGAGCTTCCATTGGAACATCCATTAGTTCAGAATGGTAAGTGACCAGATATGGCATACATTAGTTCAGAACAGTCCATGATCAGATGTGGCATACATTTAAACAGTAAGTGATCAGATCTGGTCCAGCGTCAGAGCCTCTCTGCCTCAGGAGGGGGATGAGCAATGGGGTGGGTGGAGATGATACAACACTACTGCCGCCCAGTGATTTCCTTCCCTGCCCTGTCTGTTTCTTCCAGATGCAGGGACAGAGTTCGTGATATCAGAGGTTTCATTGGAACAACCAGCAGGTCAGAACAAATATGGCATACATTCAAAAGCAGCGGGCAGGTGGAGGTCTCAACTATGAGATCCATTGTCCCTGTTTACAGAATGGAAGGAGAATGAGAGGGTCTTGAGGGTGGTGAACATCTCCAAGGAAGATCAGGAATGGGCCACAGAGACCTCCTTCATAGATGCCTTCTCGATTCCCCTCTGGCTGTCCCAAGAGTCTGCTCCTTTGGGGCAGAAGGTGCTTTCTGATGCCTGCAGGTGTCTGCAGATGCCTTCCCCTTCTGAGGGAAATGTTCCTGGTCCTGCTGTGGCCCACCCTGGGTGCTCTCAGACACATAGGTCAACCCTGGGCAGGGTCTGAAGCAGGGAGATGCCAGGAAGTGCTGGCTGAGGAAGAGGAAACATGTCTTACAAGGCATGTGCCTTTTCACCCTCCACAGTGCTCTCAAGGAGAAAGACTGGCCCTCAGACAACACTTTTTCTTTCAACAGGTTTAACCCTTCCTGCTGACTGCTGCTACTCCTTCTCTCAACAAACCATCCGGTGTTCTCTCATGAATTATTATTTTGAAACGGGCAACAAGTGCCCCAAGCCAGGTGTCATGTAAGTGCCAAGCTCACTAACCATGTGCTGGGGAAGAAGAAGCCCCCAGCGTCTTACAGGGAAGACCCGATGGATGGGCATCCATCGGGTCCCACCCTCTGGAGCCAGGTGCGGGGCAGCTGTGTCCTTATGAGGATCCTGCAGGGTATCAGGGATGAGACACTCCCAGTGGAGAGGAGGTAGGGAAGGAAGAATAAAGCAGGCACAAGTTTGCCCAAGGACACTTCCATGAGTCATTAAGGAGCCCCATAGGCTGAGAGGGTCTCAAGAGGACACTGAGCTGCCATCAGCAGAGAAAGGAAAAAAATAGGCTGTGTTGAGTGGGAGATCTGAGAGGCAGGGAGGATGGGGCCCCCTGTCTCAACCTGCTAAACACACCTCACTTTGCAACCTTTCTCTCGGTTGTTCCCCAGCTTCCTCAGCAAGAGGGGGCAACAGATCTGTACCAAACTCAGTGATCCAGGAGTTCAGGATTGCATGAGAAGGCTGACGCCCTACCCAGTATCCCAAATCCGGGAACCAAAATAAACAGACAAGAGTCCAGCCATCCACTTCCAACACCTCTTCTGTGTCTCTTGGCCTGAATTTTTTTTAAAAAAAAGTATTGTTGTGTCTGGTAATGCAAGCAATGCATCTAATAAAGAGTGTTCAATTTTTAACTTTGCTTGAGTTTTAAGAGGAAATAAACTCATATAAAACTGAAGGAACTGCGGAGCCCCAATATGATTAAATACAAATTCACCTTATATCTCATCTTCTCCTCTCTACTGAAACAGCTCATCTTCAAAGGCTTGGCTACAATTTCAAGAAAGTTTTTTGAACTCCATCATTTGCCCAATTCACACCATTTTCTAGTTTACTTTACATTTGATCCATTATAATCCCATAACAATTTTTATTTTTCCCACAATTTCCTTTTGATATTTTTCTATTCACCAAAAGGAAAATACTATTTGTTTCCTTATCAGCCCATATTTGCACTTGCATATGCACACCATTTGTTTCATGATAACTACTTCATTCTTTGAGACAGCCTTCAAGGACCTTCTAACTTCCTATTCCAATTTGCAGAAATGCTTTCTGGACCTGCCAAAATAATAATGATAATAACAAGTGACACTGGGATTTCTTCTCATCACACATTTGAGTTCATTCCGCCATGACAGGCAGCCCACAGCTTCCTCTTCCTTTGGTTTATTTTTTATTTTGCTAGAAGATCCTTGAACTGCCTTGTGCTTTAAAAGATGACAAAGGCAGACACTCTCCTTTGCTCCATAGGTGCCAGGGCAGGCACAACTCAGGCTTGGCCAATCTATGCTCCCTTCCAGAGATCTGAGCCTGAAACAAGTGTTGCAGAGAAGCAGAAAAAGAAAGGACTCCATCCAGGTGACAGTGGTGGTGGCAACAGCTTCCAGGTTTTGGAGGCAGCAATGCCAGCACATGTGCCCCATGACCAGTGCTAGAGGTCAGCACCACTAGCTGCAGTGCCCAGCAGCAGTGGCAGCATTCACACCAGTTGATTCTTGTAGCATGATTTTTGGATGTGGTTTTTGAGCTGGTCTCTCTAGGTTTCTACCTCTGCCTACCAGGTTCAAGCAATTCTTCTGCTGGGATTACAGGCACCCACTACCACGCCTGGCTAATTTCTGTATTTTCAGTTAGAGACAGGGTTTTATCATGTTGGCCAGGCTGGTCTCGAACTCCTGACCTCAGATCATCCACTCACCTTGGTAGCCTTTTTGAGATGGAGTCTTCCTCTGTCACCCAGGCTAAAGTGCAGTGGTGCGATCTCAGTGCACTACAACATCTGCCACCTGGGTTCAAGTGATTCTCCTGCCGCAGCCGCCCGAGTAGCTGGAATTATAGGTACCCACCACGACGCCCAGAAAATTTTTGTTTTTTTTAGTAGAGACAGGGTTTCACCATGTTGGCCAGGCTGGTCTTGAACTCCTGACCTCAAATGATCTGCTTGCCTCAGCCTCCCAAAGTGCTGGGATTATAAGCGTAAACTACCCACCAGACCTGGCCCAAGATTTTCCATTCTAACCAAGTATCTAGCCACTCACAGAAGGTCAAAAACATGTTATGTGCAGGTTAATTGCATAATAAATACTCTGTTCTCACAGTTCCTCAGAAACAGCATGTTCTTTTTTGCTTCCTTGCTTTCTGTGGTGCCCTCTGCCAGGCATGCCCTCCTCTCAACTTTGCCCAGCAAAACTCAACCCAACCTCAAGAGCTCAGATTAGATGCTCCCATAAAACCCTTCCCCTTCATCCCAGCCAGAAGGGCTCATCTCCCTTTCTCTGGAATCTTGAAACATATATTTATTGTCACTCAAAAAGATTATTATTGAGTGGCTACTTCAGATTATGCATTGTGCCAGGCATTAGGAAAACTATGAAAACCAAACAAAGTTGAATATTGCCCTTCAAGAATATATCAGTCCAGAGCCGGGTGGGGTGGCTCACGTCTGTAATCCCAGTACTTTGGGAGGCCGAGGTGAACAGATCACCTGAGGTTAGGAGTTCAAGATCAGCCTACCAACGTGGTGAAACCTTGTCTCTACTGAAAACACAAAAATTAGCCAGGCATGGAGATGGGCACTCTGAATCCCAGCTACTCAGGAGACTGAGGCAGGAGAATCGCTTGAACCCAGAAGGCAGAGGTTGAAGTGAGCCGAGATCATGCCACTACACTTCAGCCTGGGTGACAGAGCAAGACTCTGTCTCAAAAAAAAAAAAAGAATATATCAGTTCATAGAGAAGACTGAAAATAAGAATAAGAATGATGCTTGGGTGCAAAAAATCATATCTAATTCATTGCTAAGTCTCCAGATTTTTATGCAACATTGGAGCAAAAACAGGAAGATATTTATCCTAGAGGCAACCAACCTGGGACTCAAGTCTCCCCAGGCCCTAGTTGGACTGGCCAATGGCTGAAGAGACCACATGATATTGAAGCATCGCATTTAGAAAGCTGTATGATAGATAAGGCTTCTGAAACTTCAGCATGCATAAGACTCACCAGGAAGGCTTGTGGAAACACAGATTGTGGGCTCCCACTCCCAGAAATCTGGTTCAGTAGGACATGGGTAGTGCCGAAGAATCAGCATTTCTAATGAGTTTCCAGGTAATGCTGATGCTGCAAAGTGCAGTGGAAATTTGAAGAGGAATTCACTCCTGACTTCGTAACTTCACCATTGTTTGCGGTATTCTAAACAGCACATATTTCTTTAGTAATCAAAAAATTAAAAAGTTGAAAAATGCATATTCATTGTCTTTTCAACTAAATGGGCCAACTTTTCAATTGTGTTGATATTAGATTTATTTTGTGATGAAACTCATCAAACCGGTTTAATTATAAAATAAACATAAAATTGGAAAAGTTTTAAACATGGTTAAAGAGTCTGACCATCAATTTGGAATTTTTAAAAGTACAAATCTTGAGCTGGGTGCAGTGGCTCATGCCTGTAATCCCAGCATTTTGGAAGGCCAAAGTGGGCGGATCCCTTGAGGTCAAGAGTTTGAGACCAGCCTGGCAAACATGATGAAAACCTCCTCTCTGCTAAAAATACAAAAATAAGCCAGGTGTGGTGGTGTGCATTTGTAGTCTGAGTTACTTGGGAGGCTGAGGTGGGAGGATCGCTTGAGCTCAGGAGGTCAAGGCTGCAGTGAGCTGAGATCACACCATTGTACTCCAGCCTGGGTGACAGAGTGAGACCCTGTCTCAAAAAAAAAAAAAAGAAAAAAAATTGAAAATGAAACAAAATAGCTAGAAAAAAGGTGCTTAAAAGTCATTTTAAAAATCTAAAAAAATTAAATCTAAAAAAAATCTCGGTATGGTGCCTCACACCTGTAATCTCAGCACTTTGGGAAGCCAGGAGTTCAAGACCAGCCTGGCCAACATGGTGAAATCCCATCTCTACTAAAATACAAATATTAGCTGGGCCTGGTAGCAGGTGCCTGTAATCCCAGCTACTTGGGAGGCTGAGGCAGGAGAACTGGCTGAACCCAAAAGGCAGATGTTGCAGTGAGCCGAGATCATACCACTGCACTCCAGTCTGGGCAACAGAGAGAAACTCCAACTCAAAAAAAAAAAAAAAAAAAAAAAAAATCTAAATAGAGCTTCATGGAGATCATGAAACATCCATATTTTTAATCTTTTAATTTTAGAACCAGAGACAAAATTTAAAAGTAATATAACTCATCTCCTCAACTGAGGGCTCAACCAGGGCCAGGGCAGAGGAGATGATGCACACGGTTGAGGCCAGTGTGGCCAGAGTCCAGAATACTGTGAGACTGGTTACATACAGTGAACCCAGCAAATAAATACATACATTGAGGTTAATGGGAGCACAAGTCCCTATTGTTAGAGGAGGGAGGGAAACATATAGAAGGGGGAAAGACTGAAATAACTCTGTGGTGTTAACTTGGAATTGGACATAGTGGTGTAAACTTTTGTTTTTTCACATAGCTAGAAAGAGGATATAGAAATTGCTAATAATAGGCTGGGCATGGTGGCTTACGTCTGTAATCCCAACACTCTGGGAGGCGGAGGCGAGTAAATCACCTGAGGTCTGGACTTCGAGACCAGATTGGTCAACATGCAAAAACCCATTTCTAAAAATATAAAAATTAGCTGGGCATGGTGACCTGTACCTGCAACTGCACTTCTGGGGTTCAAGTAATTCTCCTGCCTCAACCTCCCAAATAGCCCTGCCTCAACCTCCCAAGTAGACTGACCTGGCTACTTGGGAGGCTGAGGCAGGAGAATCACTTGAACCTGAGAGGCAAAGGTTTCAGTGAGTCGAGACTGCACCACTTCATTCCTGGGCAACAGAGTGAGACTCCATCTCGAAAGAAAAAAAGAAAGAAAGAAGAAAGAAAGAAAAGAAAGAAAAGAAAGA